AGAAAAGGCAGCGGAGAAAGCAGGAGCGAGAGCGGAAGAAGAGGAAGCGGAGGGAGCTGCTAGCGAAGGAGAAGGAGAAGGAGAAGGCGGCGGCGGCACAGGCCGGAGGCACTGCAGCGGTGACGGCTCCCCCTGCGGAGGTCTGCGCAGGGCCGCAGGAGCCAGCGCTGATCTTCAATAAGGTGAACCGAGCAGGCTCCGGGCCCAGGCCTGTCCCCTGATTGGCTCTGTGGCCTCAACTCCCTCTTGGGTGGCAGCAGCCGCGTGGTCTGGGTGCTCGTGAGGCGGGTGCTGATTCTGCGTTGTCAGCGACCTGCTGTCGTCCCTAGGTGGAGGTCAGTGAGGAGGAGTCGGCCACCAAGGCCCAGCGGCGGAAGGAGAAGCGGCAGAAGGTGAAGGGGAACCTGACCCCTCTGACGGGCAAGAACTACCGGCAGCTGCTGGAGCGCCTGCAGGCGCGGCAAGGCCGGCTGGAGGAGCTGCGGGAGCAGGACTCGGGGAAGGCCCGGGAGCTGGAGGCCAAGATGAAGTGGACCAACCTGCTGTACAAGGCCGAGGGGGTCAAGATCCGCGACAACGAGCGGCTGCTGCAGGAGGCCCTGAAGCGCAAGGAGAAGCGCCGGGCTCAGCGGCAGCGCCAGTGGGAGAAGCGCTCGGCCCACGTCGTGGAGAAAATGCAGCAGCGGCAGGACCGGCGGCGGCAGAACCTGCGCAGGAAGAAGGCGGCCAAGGCTGAGCGGCGCCTGCAGAAGGCCCGCAGGAAGGGCCGCGTGCTGCCCCAGGACCTGGAGCGGGCGGGCCTCGCCTGAGCACCCCGACCCTCCCACCATGAACCCTCCCCACCCTGGCTGCTGTCTCTGAGGCTTCAGAGCTCCCAGGTGATACATGACACTGGGCCCGAGGGCATCAGATGCCATCCTCCTCTCCCAGAGCTGCCTGAGGCTCGGATCACATGCTGAGGAGAGTGGGGTGTCTCTGTTGTCGGTGAGCAGGGCCAAGGCCTGCAGACCCACGGGAGTGGAGAACTAGACCCAATCCCAGAGTCCTTGTAGGGTGGGAGAGCTTCCCTGAAGTCTGCAGGTTGCCGGGGAGCCCTCCTCCAGCCCCTCCTGCCTTTCCTGGGTTCCCAGGGGTCCTGGGCAGGAAGAAAAGGGCCTTGGTCAACTGTCCCATTAGTCCAGGGCTCAACAGGAAGGGATGCGAGCCCAGGGGACTGACTGGCTCCCATAGCTGGGAGAACCGGGGCCAGCCAAGTACGGCCCTTCTGGGGATGCCTTGCTCTTCCCTGTGGTAGTCTCATCCTCTCCTGTTCCTCAGTAGTCCTAGGACAATGTTTTCCCAGCTCAAAATCCAAAGAGGGGAAGGGAGCTGCTCCTTCCCAGGCCCATGGGGTGTGACTCAGGCTGCGCAGTCACCTCTGGGCATTTGCTGGCTTGAGGGCTGTGTAGTGGTCAGCGTGCCTCGGCACCCTCCTGGAGTCAGGGCAGAGGACTCCCTATGGGTACAGGGCTGAGGGAAGCCTGCTTTCACCAGATGAGTGGGTAGGAGATGGGGACAGGGACCTCAAGTGAGAGCCTGGACGCAGACGGGGGAGCGCGGTTGGGCATTTCCCTAGTGTCTTGGGGGAGCATCCCCCACTGCCTGAACAGCTCTTTAGAAATGAGCTGCTTGTGCCGATTTGGTGGCCCACACTGGTGATCCCAGCACTCAGGAAACTGAGGCAGGAGCTGGAGGATCAGAACTTAGAGATCAGCCTAGGCAATTAGCAAGACCCTGCTTCAGAATAAATGAAACAAATGAGAAGCTGGGGCTGCAGCTCAGTGGCAGAGCAGCTAGTTCAATCCATAGTACCAGACCCTGGGGGGGGATGAGCGCCCCCCCCACACACACACCAAAGGCTACTATTTAATAAAACAGGCAGAGTACACCTATGCACACAGTGGAAAGGTCCAGGAGTGAACAGGCCTTGGATGGGGTAGGTTTCTGTACTCTTAAGGCCTTTGCTGTGGCCCAGTTGAAATGTCCCATACGGTTATTTTCTTGTAAAGGAGTGGGCTGGGGGAGTTCAGCTGGTTGGCAGCCCCCATCGCCCTTGGTATCTGCGTGGTCACTGCACTCAGGCCCTGCTCTTCTGGGTGGCCTCCACCAAAGTTAAGCCCAGTGAGTGGCACTGGGGCCTGAGGTTCTGCTCCTAGCAGGGCTCCTGTTCAAGTGGCTGCCCACGACTCCTGCTGGCTGGCTGAGGCCCCAGCAGCTGTGTGCTGATCTGATAACTCTGCCCCATCCTGCTTCCTGCATTTGGTCACCACAGGCTATATCCAATAAACCTCTTGCATTCCTAATTTGGTCTCTGTCTGTTTTCTGGAGGGACACACAGCTCCCAGTACAATGCCAAGTAAGTTTTTTGTTTGTTTTTTGGTGCTAGGGATTGAACCCAGGTCACTTAACCACTGAGCCTCATCCCCAGCTCTATTTTGTATTTTATTTAGAGACAGGGTCTCACTCAGTTGTTTAACCATTGCTGAGGCTGGCTTTGAACTCGCAATCCTCCTGTCTCGGCCTCCTGAGCCACTGGGATTACAGGCGAGCGCCACTATGCCCAGCTAAAACAGATCTTAAAAAGCATTCTTCTTACCTTGTTCCTGATACTCAACACTCAAAAATCTACAAAATTAGTAAAACAGTAAAGGATAAGAGAGGACACCATGTTGCCAAGTCCTAGGACCTACTCTAAACTTCTGCCTTTGCCAAGCCCTCCCCAACAGAGCTGGGTGGTCCTGGTCCACTGAGAAGGCGGTGGCTTCCGGTCACCACCCCTGCTTTGACAACCTTGACGAAGTTAACCAGGGCAGTGACAGTGCCTCCCTGTAGCTGCCCATTTCTTCCTGGTTTTCTTGGATGGGAGGGACTTGCCTTTGGTGAACTTCAGAACCTGACCAGCTCGCTCCCCCTCTCCAGGGGACCCTTGCTTGGCACCCAGTCTCCTCCTCTCTGTGCCTTCAGAATGGGGAAGGTCCTTTGCTCTCTTTTCTTCCCTTTTATAAATGTGTTGGGAGTCTGGAGCTTAATCTTTGCTCAAGGAATTTGCCTCTTTGGCCGCCTCATCGGCTTCTGTTTCTTTGCTGACCCCGGTTTGGAAACCGCCGCTCCTGCCTGGATCTGCCCTCCGTCCTCGTCCTCGCTGTCCCTGCCTGCATTACCATTCTGGGCAGCCAGTGCGGGGTGCCCGGCCTGGTCTTCTTGGTCTTGTCCTCCTCACTGGAGCTGCTATCAGCCTTTCTGGCCAGGCTTCTGGCTGCTGCCTGCAGGCTGCTCAGGGCTTGGGTGGCTCAGGGGTGGAATTCTTGGTGGTGCTGCCTGGGCTGGAGCTTCATCCCCAGGGCTGTCGGGGCGGAGCTCCCTGAAGTGCTTCTGCCACCTTTGCTTTGTCCGGTCTTGTGCTTGCTCTGGGGATGGCTGCCTTAGCTGGGTGTCTTCTCTTCCTCAGAGCTTGACTCAGACCCATCGCTACTGTCCACACTGCTTTCCACAGACTCTGCCTCCATCTCCGCTTTCTGGGGGGCTGGGTTCCCAGGGACGTCTTCAGTGGCAGTGCAGGAGGCGGGGGACTGAACTGCAGGGACCTGGTGCATTCTTTGTGGGTTTTTCTCTCCTCCTCACTGGGGCAGTCTGCACTGCTGGAGCTCTTGGGTGCAGGAGAACAGCGGCTTTCCCTGGGACCTGGCCCATGACTTGCTTCCAGGTCCAGTCTTCTTGACTTGCCTGGTTTGGCTGGGGCCTTTGCCTGAGCTTTCACTGCCACAGGATGCTGCCTGGCTTCTTGTTCCTTGGCACCTCATCCTCTGAGCTTGAGCTAGAATCAGGCATGTTGCTCTTGGCTTGGGGCTTTCTGGGGAGCCTTTTTGTCCTCCTTCTCCTCCTCCTTGCTGGATTCTCCACTGCTGCTGGTCTCTGAAGCTTTGGCTGCACGGGATGCCCACTAATTTGGCCTCTGTCTGTTTTCTGGAGGGAACACAGCTCCCACTAGGAGGCTGTGACCGGGATTGAGAGTCTACTGTAGCTGGCAGGGGTGGTGCACCTTCAGGGAGAGGGTGGGACTGGACATTAGGAACGCCAGGCAGTCAGTGTAAGCTCAGAGCTAGTGTGCTGCACTAGGAGGAGCAGAGGTGAAGGCAGGCGTGGCCAGGCACGCAAACCGAGGAGCAGGAAAACCGATGGCAGGACGGACTCACAGACCTCTCACGGGTGCACTCCCTTGTTTGGGTGGGGGGGACCAACCATCTCCAGTGCTCACTTTGCTCAGCACACACAGAGCCTGTGCCTGCATGCCCATTACCCTTTACTCTTAATACAATGAGTATGGAGCTCCTCTTGGTGGTCATTATTAGAGAGTCCAGCTGTTGCTCTTTAGTGTCTTGTACATAGGAGCTTTTTTGTTTGTGGTGCTGAGCCAAATCTCCAGCTCTCAGGACACAGGCTTTTTATACAGGTTGAACTCCTTCCCAGGTTTTGTCTTTTTAAAAAAACAGCCATGCACATTTTTTCATCTTTGTTGGGTCCTATTTATTTGTATTCACTTAGGGTTATATTTGTTTAAGAATATAATATATATTTGTCTATACTTAGAGTTATATTTGTTTAACCTACCAAGGCAAAAGAATGTTTACAAGGTATTTTTAAATAAAGAGCTGTTTTCACTTGTTGCAATTTTTTTAAAAAAGAATCTTTTGTCAAACTCAAACATTTCCCCTCAAGTTTTAAAAAGTAATATTGCTCTATATTTTACTCTAATTTATTTACATTTTGCTTAAATTTTATTTTGAAAAGGTAGTGCATCAACAGTTTCAGACTTAAAAAGGGCACTTAAAGGTACATGCTGGACCCTTGCTGTCGGGTTCTGGGCGCCAGATGGCATCAGAATCTAGGCTCTCGGTGAGGGCGGGTCTGCACCCTGTGGGGCGGGGCGTCAAATGGGCGGGGGGGTGGGGGGGTCGGCTGGAAGCCTGCGGGACATCAGGGCCGCGAGACCTGGAAGGAGCAGGACTCTTGGAGAGGCAGATGGTCTCGGTTGCTGCCGGACGGGCGCTGGCGGCCCCTGTCCTGGCCACAGTCCTGGGTATGATAGTCCTCCCCGCGGGCAGCCGCGGATGCTCCCTAGCGCCCCTGTCCTCTTGCGACGCGGCTGCCCTGTGCTTCACCCGGTTCCGAGGCTCCTGGCAGAAGGTGGCGACAGGTGCGGACGCGGAGCCATGACCGCGCTGCCGCGATCCAAGGCGGTTTAGTGCCCCCCCCCCCCCCGCCCGGTCTGTTGGTCAGGTTGGGAACTCTCCACGCCTCTCTTGGTCCCTCTATGCTCACCTGCCTTTCCCCGAACTGGAGTTCCTAGTGTGACTCCCAGAGCCCTCTGCAGAGTCTCCGAAACGTCCAGCAGTGCGTGTGGCCCCCAGGCGCCCGTGGAGGAGGGCTGCGGCTCAGCAGGACCAGGTGCTTGCAGTCGGCGGGGAAGTGGGAATTGTGCCGACAGCAGAGCGCGAGGGGACATGGGAACCCTGGCGGCCGGGTGCAGGTCCGTGAACTGCGGTGGGAAGGACATAGAACCAGGGCCGAGGTGCCCAGAGCCAGCACTATGCCTGATTTAGGGCACTGTTTAGGCACTGCTATGGGGGCGGGGGGTGGTGGTGTCTGACTGGGATTGTAGGGGGACAAGAGGTGTCTCCAGGGACGGGTACCAGGATTTTCCAGAGAGAAAGGACAACTGGATTCAGGACCAGCAGGATCCTTGGAATATGGCAGATAACTCCAGCACATGCCGGGCAAAGTGACAGACAGGTTTATTTAGGAAAACAGATCCACATTCAAGGGACGGGGGGAGCACTCTCTAAATGGAGATGTCTTTGGGAAAAGCCAGGAATACTACTCAAAGGCCAACCCAGGCCTTCAGAGGGAGAGGCAGCAACTGGTGGGTGTGGGGAGTTAATGTTTCTAGAGGGGGCTGCAGGGGCTGGACAGGAGATGGGGACAGGGTGGAATGTACAATCTGAAGAGTTTTTCCTTTGTTTGCACTTTCCCTCATTTTAAATGGGTCTGGCCAAGGGCCAGCCACTCAAGATCTCCAGCTGTGCTTTGGGCATCTCAGGCTTGTGGGACTTTAAGATTCTCTCTCTCTATCCTAAAACCCCATCACAGAACTAGGAGAAGGATGAAATAGAGGGGAGGCCCTACTTAGCTGATGGAGGAGGACACTGTGGGCTGATGGCCCTGGGCTCACAGCTTGTGAGTATTTACTCTGAGCCAGGCCGGGTTCAGGAATTGGGAGGGTGGAGCTCGGGAGGCCAGTTTGCCCACTGGAGACAGGTTTGGAGAGCCGTAGAGCACCGCCCTGCCTACACAAGAGGGAAGCACTTGAGGAGTTGGGAGTTTATCCCGGGCTGTGGCCTGCCGCTCCTATTATGGCTAAGTTTTCCTGGTCCATCATGAAGCGGGAGAAAAGAGATAAGCATAGTTACAAAGGACTCTAGCAGGAAGGGGAAAGGAGACCAACTCTAAATCACCTTCACTCTCCAAGCTGTCTCCTCCAGATGAGAACCCTTAAACCTCCTTGGTCCTCCTGGGTGTGGTGAGTGGCTGAGATGCCTGCGTACCTTAACGCAACATTTTTTTTTTTTTGGTGGTGGTGCTGGAGATGGAACCCAGGACCTTGTGCATACAAGTCAAGCACTCCCAACTGAGCTGCATCCCAGCCCCAGCATGCGCTTTGGATGGACTAAAGCCAGGGGAAAGGTGCTGTTGGAGACTTACATGGTGTATCCCAGGTGTTGATGTCAGCCTGGATGTCCCCGAAAGAAGCAGGCACGTGACCTGCCCTGTGTTCCGTGGTTAAGAGGATTGAGGTCACCGGCTGAGGTCACCCCACCCACTTCTCATGTTCACTGTTCACCGAATTTCCTTTAAAAAGAAGAGCCCAAGACCCCCAAAGAGCAGCTACGGCTGAGTGGCCCCACCCTTCTTCTGCATGTGTGTCCCGTTCCATTGCTTGCTTTACTGAATAAAGCTTGCTCTCCTAAATAAATGCCTGCCTCAGCCAGGGTCTCAGTCCCTTTTCCCTTCTGGGGACCTCCTCAGACCACGATGGGTGACATTCCCCATTCTACTTTGTGTTTTCCCTTCCTTCCTCACTTCCTGCCTCCCACCCTCCCTCCTTTGTCCCTTTCCTCCCAATGTGAAACACACAGGCTGACAAGTCTTCACACCCAGTCAGGGGACAGCACACCCAGTGCCCGCGAGGCCCTCTGGCCCAGGACTCACCATCTCACCAGTCTGGGGCCCTTGGAGGACCAGTGTCTGCGTGGGTGTCCTTAGCCCTGAGGTCTGGTGTGGGGCCTGGCCCATGCCTGGATCTGCGCAGAGCATCCTGAAGAGTAAGAAGTGCAGGTCTTTTGAGAAACCCAGCCCGCTAGTGCCCTTCTCAGGTTATCCCCATTTCCAAACATTTATTCATTCATCCAACAAATATCACTAAACACCTGAAGAAGCCCTGGTGCTAGGAAGGGCACCTGCCACAGTGAGCCAGGTGAGGAGGTGGTCTTAGAGACATGAATGGTGAAAGGCCTGGTACCTGCTGTACCAGGAGAGCAGCCAGCAGGGGGAGCCCTGCCCCAAAAATCAGCCACATAGGCGGGGGAGGGCCGCCTGCTGAGGAGGAGCCAGCAACTCAGTGAGGCCTTGTGCATACAAGTCAAGCACTCTACCAACTGAGCTACACTCCGCAGGAAGAGGAGCCAGTCTTGGAGAGGCAGGAGCAAGCTGGGGGTGGCTCCTGGCTGCTCTGTGGAGGGGCTTCCCAGAGAGCACTGGCTCCCTGGAGCACTGGTCAACCCGCAGTTGTGGAAAATGGGAGCAGGCCAGGTATAGCTGTCCCCATGAGTTTCACCCTTGTCGGGCAAGAAGAGGTCAAAAGTCTTCCTTGGAATTGCATGTGTTACTTCAGACCTGCTCTGTATGCACCCACCTTCTCTCTTCCTTACGCTTAGGACCAGCGATCTATGCTGGGTGGCATTTAAAAAAAAAACAGATTTATTGAGGTGTCCTTACATATCATAACTTTCACCTCTTTTAAGTGTACTCTTTAATTATTTTTGGTCATGTTACAGAATAGTGAAATCAATTCAAGTTCCTTTGTGTCTTTTAACATTCACTCCACAGGCCCCTCCCAACCTTGGGCCCTCACCTTCTGTCTCTAAAGCTTTGCTTCTTCAAGACATTTTTATATAAATGTGACTTTTTGCACTTATTTCCTTCACTTAGGATGTTTTAGGGGTGTAGTATTGCAAAATTTGGTGCATATGTATTTACAGTTGCTATGACATCTTTTTTTTTGGAGGGGGGAGGTACTGAGGATTAAACTCAGAGGCACTTGACCACTGAGCCACATTCCCAGCCCTATTTTGTATTTTATTTAGAGACAGGGTCTCACTGAGTTGCTTAGGGCCTTGCTTTTGCTGAGGCTGGTTTTGAACTTGTGATCCTCCTGCCTCAGACTCCTGAGCTGCTGGGATTACAGGCATGTGCCACAGCACCTGGCTGCCATAACTTCTTTTTTTTTTATAATTTTTTTATTGGTTGTTCAAAACATTACAAAGCTCTTGACATATCATATTTCATACATTTGATTCAAGTGGGTTATGAACTCCCATTTTTACCCCGTATACAGATTGCAGAATCACATCGGTTACACATCCACGTTTTTACGTATTGCCATACTAGTGTCTGTTGTATTCTGCTGCCTTTCCTATCCTCTACTATCCCCCCTCCCCTCCCCTCCCCTCCCATCTTCTCTCTCTACCCCATCTACTGTAATTCATTTCTCCCCCTTGTTTTTTTTCCCTTTCCCCTCACATCCTCTTGTATGTAATTTTGTATAACAATGAGGGTCTCCTTCCATTTCCATGCAATTTCCCTTCTCTCTCCCTTTCCCTCCCACCTCTCGTCCCTGTTTAATGTTCATCTTTTTCTCATGCTCTTCCTCCCTGCTCTGTTCTTAGTTGCTCTCCTTATATCAAAGAAGACATTTGGCATTTGTTTTTTAGGGATTGGCTAGCTTCACTTAGCATAATCTGCTCTAATGCCATCCATTTCCCTGCAAATGCCATGTTTTTGTCATTTTTTAGTGCCAAGTAATACTCCATTGTGTATAAATGCCACATTTTTTTTTATCCATTCGTCTATTGAAGGGCATCTAGGTTGGTTCCACAGTCTAGCTATTGTGAATTGTGTTGCTATGAACATCGATGTAGCAGTATCCCTATAGTACGCTCTTTTAAGGTCTTCAGGGAATAGTCCGAGAAGGGCAATAGCTGGGTCAAATGGTGGTTCCATTCCCAGCTTTCCCAGGAATCTCCATACTGCTTTCCAAATTGGCCGCACCAATTTGCAGTCCCACCAGCAATGTACAAGTGTACCCTTTTCCCCACATCCTCGCCAGCACTTGTTGTTGTTTGACTTCATAATGGCTGCCAATCTTACTGGAGTGAGAAGATATCTTAGGGTGGTTTTGATTTGCATTTCTCTGACTGCTAGAGATGGTGAGCATTTTTTCATGTACTTGTTGATTGATTGTATGTCCTCTGAGAAGTGTCTGTTCAGGTCCTTGGTCCATTTGTTGATTGGGTTATTTGTTTTCTTATTGTTTAATTTTTTGAGTTCTTTGTATACTCTGGATATTAGGGCTCTATCTGAAGTGTGAAGAGTAAAGATTTGTTCCCAGGATGTAGGATGCCTATTTATCTCTCTTATTGTTTCTCTTGCTGAGAAAAAACTTTTTAGTTTGAGTAAGTCCCATTTGTTGATTCTTGTTTTTAACTCTTGTGCTATGGGTGAACTTTAAAGAAGAACTAATACCAATACTCTACAATCTATTTCAGTAGATAGAAAAAGAGGGAGAACTTCCAAATTCATTCTATGAGGCCAATATCACCCTGATTCCCAAACCAGATAAAGACACCTCAAAGAAAGAAAACTACAGACCAATATCCCTAATGAATTTAGATGCAAAAATCCTCAATAAAATTCTGGCAAATTGGATACAAAAACATATCAAAAAGATCGTGCACCATGATCAAGTAGGATTCATCCCTTGGATGCAAGGCTGGTTCAATATACGGAAATCAATAAATGTTCACTACATCAATAGACTTAAAGATAAGAACCATATGATCATCTCGATAGACGCCGAAAAAGCATTCGACAAAGTACAGCATCCCTTTATGTTCAAAACACTAGAAAAACTAGGGATAACAGGAACTTACCTCAATATTGTAAAAGCTATCTATGCTAAGCCTCAGGCTAGCATCATTCTAAATGGAGAAAAACTGAAGGCATTCCCTCTAAAATCTGGAACAAGACAGGGATGCCCTCTCTCACCACTTCTATTCAACATAGTTCTTGAAACACCAGCCAGAGCAATTAGACAGATGAAAGAAATTAAAGGCATAAATATAGGAAAAGAAGAATTTAAATTAGCACTGTTTGCTGATGACATGATCCTATACCTAGCAGACCCAAAAATTTCAACCAAGAAACTTCTAGAACTAGTAAATGAATTCAGCAAGATGGCAGGATATAAAATAAATATCCATAAATCAAAGGCATTCCTGAATATCAGTGACAAATTCTCTGAAATGGAAATGAGGACAACTACCCCATTCACAATATCCTCAAAAAAAAAATAAAATAAAATACTTGGGAATCAACCTAACTAAAGAGGTGAAAGATTTATACAATGAAAACTACAGAACCCTAAAGAGAGAAATAGAAGAAGATCTTAGAAGATGGAAAAATATACCCTGTTCATGGATAGGCAGAACTAACATCATCAAAATGGCGATATTACCAAAAGTTCTCTACAGGTTCAATGCAATGCTAATCAAAATCCCAATGGCATTTCTTGTAGAAATAGATAAAGCAATCATGAAATTCATATGGAAAAATAAAAGACCCAGAATAGCAAAAGCAATTCTAAGCAGGACGTGTGAATCAGGAGGTATAGTGATACCAGATTTCAAACTATACTACAGAGCAATAGTAACAAAAACAGCATGGTACTGGTACCAAAACAGGCGGGTGGACCAATGGTACAGAATAGAGGACACAGAGACCAATCCACAAAATCACAACTATCTTATATTCGATAAAGGGGCTAAAAGCATGCAATGGAGGAAGGATAGCATCTTCAACAAATGGTGCTGGGAAAACTGGAAATCCATATGCAACAAAATAAAACTGAATCCCTTTCTCTCGTCATGCACAAAAGTTAACTCAAAATGGATCAAAGAGCTTGATATCAAATCAGAGACTCTGCAGCTGATAGAAGAAAAAGTTGGCTCCGATCTACATATTGTGGGGTCGGGCTCCAAATTGCCATAACTTCTTGATGGTTTGTTCCCTTTATCAATATGTAGTGAATTTCTTTGTCTCTTTTGACTAATTTTGGCTAGAAGCCCAATTATGAAAGGTCTGAGCATTGCTACTCCTGCTGGCTTTCAGATGCCTCTTGCTTGAGACGTCTTTCTCTTTCCCTTCACTTGTACTTGGTTCATATCGTCGCAGTGAGCTGATTCTTGCAGATTGTTGGGTCTGTTTTACAATCCAGTCAGCCAGTCTGCTTCATTTAATTGGAGAATTGAAATCATTTGCCTTTGGTCATTGTTGAAAAGTATGCACTAAGTCCTGTCATTCTATGGATTCTCTTCTAATTGTTTCATATAATCTACATGAGATTCATTTCTTGCTCCCTTATTCATCTTAGGGATTTTATGACTTACTAAATCAATAGTGTTTGAGTCTTTCCTCATTCTCGTTTGTTCATCAACTCTTCTAGGGAGATTCATTCCCTCCCATGTTCTCTAGTTGTAGTTATCTTGCTTCCTCTTCTGTGTGTCAGATTCTTTGAGTATCTTCTGGAATGCTAGTTTAGTGGTCAGGAATCCCTTTGCTTTATGCTTATTTTTATTTCTTTAACTCTGAAGAATAACTTTGTTGGATATAGTAGTTATTTTCTTTCAGAGCTTAAAAT